ATTTAATCAAATCTTTGGGTGCAAAAAGTACTCAACGTTCACACCAAATACGAATTATATTAAAATATGAGCTTCAAGAATTCATCAACCCCGGTCGACTTGTTCATCGAGTACTTTTAACTTTAAGTTATGTTACCGACCAGAAATCTATAAAAACCAGTTAGTTTGATGTAAAGAAACAAAAACCGTTAGAAGCGAAACAAAATATAAGTATAGAGACTTTAATTGTTGTGTTATGAAGTCGTATTGTTTTATAAGTAAATGACTAACGCTTTAAAAAAAAAAAACAAATATCGAGTATTTCTTTTCAGATGGCCACCTATAACACAGGACCTATTCAATTATTTTGTGTCAAAATAAATGTCATTATGTAAATTTCAAAATGTTTTTTTTTATATATATAAGAATTCCAGGCATTCCAAGAAAAATAAACCCCCTAAACTAAAGGACCTCAGAGTGGTTTCTATAAACCAAAACCTTTTGTTTAAAACCTTCCATCGATTACGCACTTGAAAAATCTATTTTTAATTAAGTTTTCTGTGTATTTCACCCATAGGCGGTGGTCGAGGTGGTGGCAGTAGTGGTATATAGTAGGTACACAGTATCTAATTAAAAATCTCCTTTACACAATGCAGACACACTCTAGAACTATAACACTTCGACTTTTCTACGCGCAAAACTCTTGTAACAAATTAATGAATTAACACGTATCTTTCTCCTTTGTCTTACTATACTTGATAACAATTTCCTCGCACTACTTCACTCGTATATCTCAAGACCATTAAATTAATACAATTTATTATTTAGTAACAGTTGCACTTTAGCTCCACCGACTAAATGTACTGCAATTTTACATCAAACGAAAATATAACCTCTGTTTTGACAATAGTATTCTGATAATATAGCAATATGTTTGCCGTAACGTCTTAAATAACTGGTAATCATGTCAAAAAAAAAAACAAAATTTGGTGAAAACCTTTCTGAAACATAATGCCATGTTTGTATATTATTTATACATTATACCTTTTGAGCACAACGAAAAAAATCGAACTTAATACTCGGTATACGTTTTTGACAGTTGGTTCTGCTTCTATTTTTAATTCAAAATCCTTTTAATGCTGCACGAACCTTTTTGCTCCGATTGCTATTTCATAATTTAAAATTCAACTCAAGTAACGAAGTAAATAAATCTTTGATCCCGGTATAGCAGGGACCGGAGTAAGATCATAAGCTTTTTTCAGTGTGACCACTTCTGAGTTCTTATTACTATTATATTATATTTATACTATGTAAAACAAATCATTCACGTCGGTAAAATTGAGTAATCCACACACTTGATGGTTATAAGTTAACGACTTAGTTAAAATGTCAATCAATTTAAACTCGTTAATTTTGACCCAGTATAACTCTGAAAAACGAACGCTCAATATAATATTTTTTTCTAATATACAAGTAGGTAATTTAATAATTTTACATTGATTAAAAACCAACATGAGACGATTATATACTCAAAACGTAATCTCAAAACGGTCTCAATATAATATATATTTGAACGCGAACAATCCAGATAATATTATATGCATAATATGTAGATGTAGAATTATTTAGTTGTCATGAAAATTATGAATATTTTTGTTATGCTCAAATTATATTTATTTTCTTACACGTGACGAGGGATATCCTATATAAATTTAAAAGCCCTTAAAATGTCTGTCGAAACCTTTGCTATTAATTTTTCAGTACAAAAATGTCGTTTCGATACGTTTACCCAAAGTAATAGTTTATAGTAATCAGTTGTATACGCCCTCTGTTGTAACGATCGCATTCGAGTTGACACCTGCAAGCTGAAAATATAAAAAAAATGTAGGTGCTCGTCAACACTACAATAATATTTTATTTGTCATTTACATTTTCGACACATTGATTCGTGGTTTAAACATTTAACTCGAGTACACAAAATGTTATGCTGCTGGAGTTTATTAAATGGCGTGTCTAAAAGCGAACTTGAAACGAGTGAACTACTATATTATTTATTTTAACCATATTTCCATTACACGTAAGTTTTTTTTTACAGTACAAACTAGTAAGTAGTAATTATTTCAGAACTATTGGAAACAAAAACACATTATACTATAAAATATAAAAACAGAAAAAAAATCGCTACATATCGTTATAATATTCATGGTTATTATAAAACCATATTATGATCGTACATTTCTTGGTCGGTAAAAAAAAAAATAATGAACTACCTATGAGACCAATATGGGATTATTTTCAAACAAAATAAAACACCTTTTTTGTATGCATATCTGCTAAAACGTACGGATTTTATGTAGCTACGTGTTTTCGAATTCACTATATTGTCGTGCAGGTTAGTATTTTGTTTACATAACATAATCGAAAAAAATAATATTATAAGCATATGGGGGAGCTGCAAAAATATGTATATCAAGAAATTTCAACTTGTTTATTCATAAATAATAAATTTGGTTGGGATTCTGAGTAATCCAAGAAACTCGTATCGGACTTAAAAAACTGTTTTTTTTTTTATAAAGAAAAGTTTCGTATAACACCTTTTCTCGTATAAGATGTCTTATCGAATTTTGCTTTGATTTGCATCAAATTTCCCGTATTATCAAGTAGTTTCACAAAGCCTCCAACTGCATAAAAAAATGCTAACAACCTTCAGTCGATTCTCGATTCTGAGGTGTGTGAAGTTTTCAAACTATTGTTTTAAAATATGTCATATCACTCTCGTCAAATTGTAAAATCCAAGGAGCGTAGTCTAACAAAAAAAAAAAAAAAAACATTGTCTTAGAATCATATTTTCATAGACATTACGTCTTGTACTCTTGTGTGCTTGTTGTAATGATTTATTGTAAAGATTCTAATCGTCAAAGTGAACGCAAATAATATAACTGCCTTCGAAAATGGGTCCTAGCAACTTTCAGTGAAATATTATAAATATATAATAATAATATGTATCTAATAAATAATTTTTTTTTTTTTTTGCCAAACGAATTATTGCTCACATCCACCGCTCTGGATTCCACATTGGAATAACATTTTTAGTAAAACTGAATTCATGTAAAAATATTATTTCATGTGCCGGAATTGGATGTTCACGTTCGAACGAAATTGAACAATAATAATAATATATAACACGGGGTTATCACGAAGAAAAAAAATAATGACAATGTACATTTATCAAGAAATGATAGGTGGAATATAAAATAAAACCGTCATGGTATAATTTATAATGACAGTGAATGGCCGATGTGCACAAAAGTGCACAAGTATACATAGTCAATAATTTAAAAATATTAAAAACTATTATTTTAATGCAATACGAACAAAAAAAGAAGGGTAATACACTAATACGTCGTATTGTATAACTTTTGTTTTTCGCATTAAATGCGAGTTTATGAGTATTGTTACATAGTCATTGCTGACAAATAATTATAATGATACATTTCGCATTGATTTTATTCGGTCTTTGCATCGTATACAGCAGAATATTTATTCATGTTATTCTGTAATAACATCACTACGAATCATAATTATTTTATCAATTCAACTTAATTAATGATTATATTTTAGTGTCGTTCTTTAGTTTCTCTTTACGGTCCAATAAAAGCAGAAATAATAAGCAGCAGTCACCGTCGTTCGTATTTAATTTGTTTATTGTTAATAATTTGTTAGAAATTTGTTAATAATTCTGAATTTATGTACTCGAATAGTTTGTTTGCATATTTTACAATTATCACGTGCAGCAACCTTTAAACACCATAACTCGGCGATAAAGAGCCAAAAACTAGGTGGTTTTAAAATAAGATACATGGTACAGTATTAATAGTAGTGAAAGGTATCGAAAGAGAATTCGATAAGTAACCGACCGGACAACGCGTAAAGTGGTAAAATGTAATTTGAGGCCAATACATCGCCTATGTATTTTCTCACTTTTGTTTTTTACGGCAAATGAAATGGGCATTGGCGTGATGCGACGGACCGTGAATCAATCAAGACGACGAGTAACCAGAAGAAAAAGAAAAACCGAAAATAGGTCGGAAAAGCGGCTTTATCGCAAAAACTAATTAAATGCCGGGCAGCGCGTAACTCGGTGTATATTATATTATATTATTATTATAATCGGATCCACGTGCACAACCCGCGTACGCCGAGATCACGTGCTGCAGTCTCCCTCTTTTTGTACGTCCCCTCCCCCTCCCCTCTCCCCCGAAATTCGATACCCATCGCCCACTGGAGAACACGCCACTTATTGTACCAGCCTGCAACTACAATAACAATAATAACAACAATAATATTATTATGTATTCAGGCAAAACTTCCAAGACCCTTTTTTCCGACCGCTTAACCGGTATTCGGTCGTTGTACGGAAAAACAAAAAGCGGGTCTCGGAAATCCTCGAGGACTTCTACGACTGTTTTGATGAGATTTAGCGGTGGGCTCTGGCGGGGGTGAAATGGAGGGGGAGGGGGTTGCGTTTGGAGTGAAACGTTATCGTCTTGAGCGTTAGGACCACTGGACGTCCGTCCTCCCTCCGTCATAATAATATAGCCATGTCTCCAACGGATACTCGTCGCTGCAGCGGCGGTGTACCCATTTTTACCTGAATAGTTGCATATATTATAGCCTTACCGACCAGTATTTCGCTTACCTAACCGATAGTCGGGTGTACAGAAAGACAAAAAGTGGGTGTAAAATCATCGGGGACCATAGCAACTGATTTAGAGATGGACTCTAGTGGTGATGGAAAGAAGGGATGTGTTTGGAGTGAAGACATTATGGTTTTGAGTGTTAGGACATATTTTAATGTCCTCACAACCGATATCCGTCCACCCTCCGTCATAGCAATATAATCATTCATGTTTCCCACGGATATTAGTCGTTGCGGTGGTACACCAACCGTCACCCGAATAGTTGCAGCCTTACCGACCTGCAGCTTATTTTGCGCAATATTCATTTCGTCTTTTTTTTACCTCCGGTGTCACGAAATAGCTGGGGCTCTTTTCAATGGTGATTTGGTTGGGGAACGAGTACGGCATTCGCCTTCTGTACCAGTCCAGACCGCGTTCGTAGTTGTCGTCCCGGTCGAAGAAGTGCACCTCGCCGTTGGCCTTTTGCACGGACTTGTGCAGGAACAACATCTCCAACAGCGCCCGCGTGCCGCCTTTCCGCACACCGATGATGATCGCCTGTAAGCGACAAAATAATACGTCTATTAATACCCGACCAAGTGTGTGTCGTAATAATATTATAAAATTACACGGGTACAACAGACAATCCGATCGACTTGCATCGATTAACAATGTCTGTGCACAATCCGTGCAGTTCTGTAGGTACATCGGTTTCAAGACCATGTTCATGCGAATATTATATTTAATACTCTTCACATATTATAGTAACATGTCGGATAACATTTGTTTTTGGTAATTATAACATTTTTTCGAGACTGTCCGCGAGTTTGGCGTCATTGTAATTCATACTATGTAATCATTATAATATTGTGATAATTGACTCGACAGCACAAAATGTAAAACAAACCGATTTTTTTTTATCATTTAGCATTTGCTCTTTTGTTTAACGCTCTACACAAACGCCATTAATTTTGATTATTTATTATTAATGAAAAAAAAAAAAAAATCATGTAGACAAAACAATATAGCAGAATAATAAAAATACACATTTTGTTTCAAATGCAAATAGTCATACAATCAACTGTAAAGTATCTGGTGTAATTAGGGGAATTTGTTAAAATTAAATTAAATTATTTTTTACTTGAAAACGAAACTGTGTTTGTATACTAGCTATTTTAAAACTATTATAATAGTATAAGTTATTATTGATTATGAGTATTCATTTCGTAATGTAATATAATATTTTGTTTTATCACTTTTAAATTATTATTAAAATTATTTTCAAATTAAAATAAACCAAACATCAATAATTAGAATACAAATACAATTCATACACAAAAACATTCGTTCAATACTTATAACATGGATATTGTTCATCAATAATAATATGTTATTCATTTTTTTTTTGCATTACATTCATCCTTTTTTTAAAGACATTTTCAAGTGCTTGCTTAATACGTTATAGCAATACGAGGTTTTAATATACCTCATAAACTATTATTAGTTATAACTAGGGTTATAGACATAATTTATTATAATAATAGTTCATTATATTGTTCAAAAATATAAAAAAACCCATTAATTATACACTTCAAGTCGTTAACTATTAATTATTTGTAGACGCCTTGTTTCTCATATATATATATATATATACATACGTTATACGTATACCCATGGCACTAAAGAGAAGTTTCGTAAAGTCACCTGAAAATGTAGTCCACATGTTAGAAATAAACCATGCCATACTACTATAATTATACTAAACGCTGAATATATATGCCACCTACATTCAACCTATTACCTATGTATTGCACAATATATAGTAATAAAACGTAACAAGACGATTAAACATTAAATCACACTAAATACATTTGTCTAGCTTCTGTAAATTACATGTCAGCTGTGCATTGTCGTACCAGACAAATATGTAGAACAATAAATATGAATAAAGCCAAGTACAAATAACATTTTTTTTTGAGAAAATATGAACACTCAAACTGCATTTGTTTTAGGTGTACGGTATAATATAATATATGCATGAAAGTACCTACCTATAGACTTTAATATTTATTCTCATGTGTCCAATGCTGTGTATTATTTATTATTATTATTATTATTATTATTTTTAAATATATAAGCTATTCAATTTAAATAATATGAAACAATATGAAATAAAAACCGTGCCGAGATTGATTCATTTTGAGAGGTTTTTTAAATTACAATAAGGCGTGTAAAACAAAAAAAAAGAGGTTCAAATTAATTTTGAAAAAAGATGGTCACGGAATATTTAAGGTGTCAACGTGAAAATGTTGAAATGTTGATTATTATTTGTACTCAAGACTTGTAATACAATGTTTATACCATACGACACAACAAATGATGACCGATAGAGTTTTGTAAGAAAACAAAAATAAACGATGATTTCCACATGTTATAACTTATACCTAATGCAAAAGAAAAAAAAGTAAAGTTTGTCTTTATTTGTATAAGACAAGTTACTATAATAATACATGTCTGCACTAAATTTACAAAAAAAAACTTGACTGACAACCAAATAAAAACTAAAAAATTAGTTTAACATTAATTTTTTGTGATAATCGCATGTTTTCAAAACATACAATCAAAACAAAAAGTAAATATTATTAGACTATAAAACATAAAAAAATATTATAGTAACATAATATATTATTATGAGTTTGATTTTTATAAATAGCAAAGTGCATTAAAGACAAATATGTCAAGGGTATGAGAAAATAGTGGTCATTAAAATAATTTCCTTTTAAATATTGTTCGACATTCAGTTTTGAAAATTTAAATATTGATGTACAAAATTAAAAATTATTTGGAAATTATTAATAATATACAAAAACAAAATTAAATTGTGTAGCCTGTAAGGTTAAATAATGATGATATGTGGAATATAATATTTTTTTGTTGAGGTGAAATATTTTTTTTGGAAAAATTCGAAGATAAATGGCCAATATGTTACATATCGTGGAGTAGTCGTGTATGGGGTATTCATTCGATTAAAGTTTAAAGGAACGAGAGGTTAAAAGTAAGGTATGGTGGGAGATGATGTTATGTATTTTGTAGTGAAATTAAGGATGTGAAACCAGGATTTTTGTAGATTGATGTTTTGCGAAAATATTTCTTTGCCAATATTTATCGAAATTTCAAATACTTTAAATTATTTTTTTCCTTCTTCTTTAAAGCTATTCGTAACTTAAACATTTTACTAAACAAATTAAATCTTAATTTTAAAATAATATATACTTATTTTATAATACAATGAGATTATTTTATGACAAATTATAATCAGTCGTATAGTACGATTCTAATAAAATTAAACGAATTTCAATAATGCCATAGTATCCTTAAACTTACGTTTAACTAATATTTATTTATCAAAAATAACTCTAACGGTTTCATTCAATGTAGTTTTATGAGATTTGGTTGAAAATCGGAGTTGAGTAGAACATAATCATTTATGTATTCTTATATTTTAATTTATACATTTAATTTTTATATATTTTTTATTTTATACCACCTACGTATTATATAATTTTATTCTATAGCTAAACTCGAAAGAATGTTCATTTTTTAAACTCACTTGATATATGTGTTAAATTAAATATTTTTAAATGTATCTCTTATGGAATCAGTCTGTGTAATACGTATTATATTTACCTCGACAATTATTTAATATGGTTGTGATACCTACGCATAGTATTAGTTTCACAAAACCATGAAGGTTAAGTAAAATACGTCAACGAATAAATACTCTGAAGTAAACAATGGTAAACTAGATCATAGAATTACCGTATGTAAAGAGATATTCTAAAATATATATATAAGTAAATGCATACCATAATATAATATAATGATATGCCATATAATACGAACGGCGTCATATAACTGTTAACATCTACGTTAATAGCATAAATTATTATAATGACTCGTATAATATAGTACCCGACGATCAGAACCATGCCGGAAGAGAGGAAATTATAAAGCTTTTGACGATGAGATTTCTACGAAACGAGCTCACAGATGGCTGCTTGTACTCATCTGATCTGAGAAACAGAAAATCCACGGTAGGTAATTGCAACACATTTTGCATTACATTTTCATTTGGGTGGAGGAGAGGGGAACGTAAAAATTGTTTCCATCGTTTTCGTCATAAGCATTTTTCCAATTTAAATCACAATTTATCGATAATATCATTTTAAACTTGGTGGACATTTTTTAACGTGCCATTTTCAGTTATTTTGTGACGAATAAAAGTATAATGTCTTATCAAGCTCCAAATTCAATAACAAATCGTTATGATAATATTTTTGACATTTTATGTCTTTACTTTGGCACATTAAAATAAAAAACCGTCACGAAAAAGTGTCCACCAAAAAGTGTCAACGAAAAGCGTTACCTACTACATTCAAACAAAGTACATTCAATTTTATGTCTTTGTTTTGGTACATAGAATCGAAAAACGTTACGTTAAATAATGCGTTACGAAACCGCTACGAAAAAAATTGCCACGGAAACAAAAAATAAACGAATGGTGGGCAGAAAATAAAAAATTTATAAATATAATATAAAATAATAATAAAATTAAAAAAAAATTGTATACCAATTATAGCAGTCGTTTCTTTATTTTTTTATCAATTACCCTATAAATATTATCTAGTTATGTGCTACATATGATAGCAAGGACAGCAAAGACATAAAATGTGGTACTCAATTGCGGACTCGTATGCAATATATTTCTTTTTTAACTCTAAATTTAAAAAAAAAAAAACAAAAACACATTTCAAAACTTTTTTTAATTGGTTTGTTACATCATATTGAAACAGTTGATGTTGTAGAGTCGTAAACAATTATAAGACTTTAATAATAACGTTTATCGGTGAAATATAGAACATTGGCAAACAGTGACGTTATGGTTATTAATGTTACCGAAGTTTCTTTTTCTGAACAGAGAAATATGAATTATTGTGGTGGCTATTGTATTATATATATATATATATATACATTATACAATAATATTTAGGTAAAGGTATAGTAATAATATACCTACCATAAAAGACAAATTGGACGAACTAATATTTACCTTACCTTACCTTATATATTTCATCTTTTCTAATTTACAAGCAAATATTTTATTTTCTCTTATTGATAAAAGGAAAAAAAAGCGAATTCTGTCCTCGGCACAAATATGATATTATAACCATTTCGTAATATTCCAAACGAACACACGAGAATTGATAGAAGTGTATACAAATAGAAAATACGTCAGACGTCAATTACAATATATTGTCATTTGCAAAAATAATGTACCATATTGTGAATATATTATTATTTTAAAAAAATGTTCGTTGTGCTCTGGACATAAATACATATTTAGCCTTTAAACCAAAATATAACACCACGAATTCGGCGAAAATAATAATATGCCTCAATGTGAACAAAAATGTTTTATACGGTTTTACGAATGAATAATAAAAATAGGAGCTGTGATTTATCACGGTGTAATATTATTTTGTATTCAATAGAACGATAAAAATAAAATATTATTATCATCTCAGTTTGGTAAATGTGTAGGTAGACGAATTAATTGTTTGCATGTAGGTTTCCGATATTGGATTCTACAATATTTAATATCGAACAGTCGACGAAAATGTGTGCAGCTATTAACTGTTTGAAAGGGTCGTACGTAGGTGTATATACTTTTGATTCGAATTCATAAAAGAAGTAAAACCATAGAGTTTAGAGTAAATATAAACCACAACCATTCAGCTACACAGAAATCAGTTGAGCAATCTTGGGAAACGTCTAAAAACTAAAGTCAAAACGATTCCTACAGTTAATAACTGTAGGAATTTATAATTTAAATTTAAAAAAAAATATCCATTAACGCATTCGGATATTTAATTATAATGCGTACGACATACACAAACTGTGTATACGTTAAACCGTGCCCGTGCATAGGTAGTTGTCAACCATGGACGAGGTTATGGGTTTTGTGGGATTCGGGTTCGAAATCTGGTTAAATTTCCTCCGGATTACAAACACTCGGGCGAAGATTCAAACCCGTTTTTACTATTAAATATAAACAACGGCAGGTACAATATGATGTGTATTTACATATTATATAATATAGTTTTCGGCGTGATAATTCATTCCGTTTTCGCGTTGGACGAGATTCAACCTTATTCAATGTATAAACATAATATTATCATATTCTCCGCACGTAGGTACATCTGGGACATATAATACAGTTTGTTGGCGTGACCGGTAAAAAGTTCGTTTTCCGCGAATTTCCGATCTATACGGAATGAGTTGTATAATATTATCATAAATTCGTTATACTACACGAATACATACCCACGAGCCCACACTAATATTCATTTATATTATGTCATGCAAACGCATTTATTGTTTATCGGTTTTCAAATAAAAATTTCAAATCCGTGTGACTAGGGGGAACGCAATTCGCAACTATATAATATGATATACATTACATCTGGACTATCGTAAAAAAAATCCCGGAAAATCCTGCAGAAGTCTCTCTGCCCTATAGTAGTTGTAGCTGGTGTCGAGTATAATGATTTCTCAGTCCTCGTAGAGAAGGTCACTGTAATGGATGTATTCAATTTGAATCTAATGATAAATCATTGTACGTGAAACACGATTCCATGCAGAGATAGTCGGCTCAGGTAAAATAACCTAAGGATAAAGTGTTATATAGTTACGTTGCTATTAGTGGCCATATAATGGTAAGCAATTTAGTTATGGCGGGCGGATGAAGGTGATTGAAATTTTTTTGGAGGGAAATGCCGTAAAATAAGTTCGTGGTAAAAAATATAGCCAAATAGGCAAAAGGATAAAATTAGTCTAAATCTTTTGTTAATGAGCAAGTGCATGTTGAAAATATAATGGTATACCAAATTAAGTATTTCAAGTTCGAAATATAATATTCTTTAATAACTAGAACATAACTAAATCCGGTAAATTATATTTCGTTTAAATATGTATGTTTAACTTCATCTAAATTTTCAAACTTCTATAGTAAAAAAACCATGATTTTGTAGTTTTAAGATTTTTTTCCCAACCAATGAGAATTTCTTACCAGGAACCTCTTATCAAATTTTCAAGTCTTAACCATACAAATATAACATTTTACATATTTTGAACTACAAAGTTATTTGAAAATGTTTATAATTTTGACAAAATAAATGTAATCGTGCTAATTTATCTTCAATATTTTTTAAGAGATAGCTATACAAATAACTAATTGATAAACTTGAATTTCATTTTTAACAATTTTTTTAATAAATATTTCAAAAAGGGTCAAAATATTTTGAAAATTGTACCATGAAAATGCTAAGATTCACATATCTCGAAAACCAAAAATATCTCAGGTTGTTTGTTTTTAAAATCACCACAACATAAGAAAACAACATAAAAATTCTCGTTTTTCCCATTAAGTTTTCTAACTACTGGACATTTTTTACTTTTGATCCACCAAAGTATCAATTAGATTCACTTTCCTACCAGAAAAGATGTCGAAGTTGAAAATCGAATCATTCTTTGTACAGCAATGAATTCAGGCACAAAAAACACATCATTGTAAAATCATTACATTCATCTAGGAATAAACTCAGAACTCAAAATCTACAATCAACATTCACAAGAAAAAACTGTAAAAGTAGAATATTTTCAATGTTGATAAATATCTTAGAAACGGTCAAAATATTTTGGAAATTATATCATATAATATATAACATACTAATACATATATTTAATATGGGCGTCTATTGTGTCTATACCTAGAAATACTGTTCTATCGTCATTTGTTTTTCAATTGCATAAAAAACCAAAATACTAAAAAAAAATTTTTTTTAATATTCCGTTTAGTGCAATTTTCCTGTTCAGTTTTTAAGACGATTATGAAGAGTGTAGGAAATTGTTAACCCCAATTTACCATTACTAAGTAGATCCAATTTTCTAACCAGAAACCGCTACCGAAGTATAATAAATATGGCATTTTTCAACCCCGCAGAACGTGCACACATTAAAAAGCAATCATCAACCGACCAGAACATGCATATCGCTCCACTTAGAATCTAAAATTGAACTTATATTATTTGCATATGAGTACAGCCTAAACAATTATCAAAAATAGTAGGCGCTTTTGAAACATTTGACTACTTCAAGAATGCAACAAGTGAGAGTGTAAATCTCAGATTCAATGAAAATTCTGTTTGACTGAAAATTATTTTACACGTTGTTTGACAAGACTCGGCGATGTGTACTGCTGTTGAAATATTTATTCAAACCGTAGTGTTTAAAAAGTCAATCAGTGAGTGTTATTTGGAAGACTCCTCTACTCGACGTGTGTATACCTATATTTAATCATTATACCATAGTATTATCGTCAATTGGTCAAAATTCGAGTGTTCAACCTTAAAAACTGTTTTAATTGTAAAATCAACACTCTCTAAAATATTGTATTTCTAACGCGCACACTCGAACTTCCGTATTCGTTAACAGAGTTTGTGATTTTACCTCCTTTTTTAAGAACGACTCATATGGAAAAAAATGGAATTACAAATTTCAGTATATCAGTTTATATAAACTAAAAACAAACCGACATTGCTTTTTGACGTATCTACATTTGAATACCTATCAAAAAAAATAATTGACTATTAATCCATTTTTTGTTATTGAAATATAAATTGGTTACTGATTTTTTTATATTTTAAATAATCCAACTTAACACTGAATATTTTTTTTTTTAATTTTACAATTTTATATTACTGGCGAATACTGGCCGTTGAAGTATATTGCTATTTTCGTATTTTACCTGCTTTAAAGGCATATTATATCATTATGCACACAATTATTATAATAATATTATTTGTGCAATAAACTTTACAATACTTTTTTAATGATATAACTATTTTCCCTTACTATGTATACTTATTGACTATTATGGACGAATTGGTACCTATTGCAAAAAATGTTCTCGCGTTTTAGGTATATTATATACCTAGAGATTAATTTGTTATTGGTTTTTTTTTTTAAATTTGTATATACTTATCTTACAGAAATTCCACATACCAACATAACAGTGTAATTGTGCCTTTCGATAAAGAGTGTATATTTCTTGAATAAAACAAATGATACTATTTAATTATACATAGATATGCATCGATTTAAATAATGTTGCGTGTTCTAACAAGTTACATTGTATACTATTGCGATTTGCTATTTGAATAGGAATTAACAAGTTAAAGTTAACGATATTAAAACTTAAGTCACAATCCAATACTCCCGCCTCAGCTTCAGGGAATAACGTTCACCCAACATTAAATTCTAATGTTGTAAGATATATTTATGTCATTGGTTAATTAAATCAAATATTACTAAATCAATTCTGTGTTTCATTTGTAAATTGTTTTATTTACTCAATACAATAATTAGTTACTGTATAAGGTATAACTCATTAGTTAATCTAATCATATTTTACATACGAATGAAAATAAAAAAATAGTTGAAAAGTAAATCAGAATATTTTAAAATTGTTGATGAAAACGATCGATATAAAAAATATAAGTAGTTTTACACCCGAATATTTTAATATGATCTAATATTAACATAATATTGTTTTAATCGTTCATTTTTTTATACGCCATTGATTGAAGTATTGTAACAACACGTTAAGTAGCTATGCCATTTAATATTCATTTACCTTTTAAATGAGTATATTATTATTTTTAAATACGTTCATGGACATTTATATTAATAATATTATAGCTAGATGAGAATTGATGATAAATACTTTATGACACCGTACTACCTACTAAGGTCTATTGAAAATGTCATTTGATAAATAAATTACCATCAACTTCCTTAAGTGATTAAACCGAATATATAATATGGTATTAAACAAAATAATTAAGCAGATTTTGAAGAATATTGAGTAACATAACCGGTCCGTCAATGTGTCCGCGTGTCAAGGTCTTATTACAAAATAATGTCACGTCAATAAATTCTACAAAATATACGCGAACAGTGTTGTGTGTGTTAACGTATCAACGATGCAGACACAATGTTGTGTTTTATGTTCCGGAGAGTTTATAACCGTTTTGAAAAAAATAATGCTGATTTTAAACAGGCTGTAGGACTGTGTTAGCCTAATATAATGCAATTATTCCTGGATTATGCAATTATGCAGGCTGCACGTTACATTATGTTGCATAGAATATTATTTTGTCGTTTTCGGTATTTTGTATTTTCATTTGTTTTTTGTCACTCACCTGAGGCAATCGTCTGCTGGTCTTCGGAAACCTGAGTCTCCGGTACGCCCGATCGTCTTGGGTCGTCCGGGCGGAACCGGAAGTGTCCTCGTCGTCGGCCACATCGTCCAAAGCCTGCAGTGGCCCGGCATTGGGGCCTCTGTAGATGTGCAGGCCGCCCAGCAGGAACAGTACGGTCGCGCACAACACCAACTGGGACCATTGGACATTCGGAACACACCATCTTCGCATTACGATTTACACATCTGCAACACAAGCACGACCACGTCTGGTTATGATATTTATATACCAGTATATAACAGTGGTATAAACTAGGATTCGATTTTATATTGGCCAAAACAACAACGCGTCAGATAGTCGTAAATCGACAGTTAAATACGAATTTGATATAACCACTGGCGACTTTAACGTATTATTATTATATTTACTGCAGTCTAATATATCGTTTACTGTAATATTACAAATTAACGCACATTTCAATCAACATTCAAAGACAATTAATTATTATCACTGAAAAAAAACTGCAAAAACTACTTGTTTTTGAGACAAATAGTTAAGTAATTTCCCGGGGTACAGTCATTTAAAATTGAAAAAAATATGTCAGTTGTAATGATTGTGACAAAAAACATTTTGATAATTTATTCTTTTACCAAAAAAAAAGAATGAATGTTGTAATAATAAGTTAAAATCTATAATAATACATATACCATGATTAATTAAAAATGTTTGAATATATTGATGTAAGTACAGTATAGTGTAAGTATAGTAGAATATTATTTTGTATTTGTGTGACGTTTTTGTCATTGTTTTGTCCCTCAATTATATTCGTTTCGATGCATGATTTTAGCATAAAATAATAATTACCAATTTGCCAGCTGTATAAATTATGCACACAATAAAAAAACCATAGCTATTAGTGGTTTAACTTAATGATATAAAATAATGTTTGCTTTGAATTCAATTTATTGTTATAATTCTTTACTTCAAACAATTAATTTTTGCTTGACTTATATGTTATTGTAAGTCCTTGTACCTATATACTTTATTTTTTCGTGAAATAAATCATAATTTATACAATTGTATCGAAATATTATTAAGAATACTTATACAAACAAAAACATTGAAAAAAGTCAGTGGCCAAATGTTATAACAACAAACGCACGTTATACATAATATATATGTAAGCGAGTTCGAGTATTCCTATTTATTAAAAATACGTCATGCGTAACGTATTCATAATTACAGCGAATAATAGAAAAAAAAACACTATTTTTAAAAATTGTCGTGGAGTATTATATTGACCCGATTTTTTCCGATTATTCTTTTACATTTTTCAACCGTTAACGACCCGATATAACAATGGCAACCAGCTCTTTTATCAAATACGTGAACTCGAAATAAAAAATAATAAATTAAAATTCGAGTCGAACATTACGATAAATATTTATTCGTCATGTCGTCATCAAAAATGCTTCGATACGTGTTTCTTCTTTCGCAGTTTTTCGAAAGCATCGATTCGATTTTTGAAAACTGTAGTGGTGGGATGTTTTGAAAAAATAATGATTACAAAACGGAATTTATAGTATAAGACTTTACAAATTATGTGGAAGACAATCTAATCTGCAAGAGGGGCTAAGTGTAATTGAAAAATAAAAAAATAATAATTTAGATAGTCGTCGAGGGGTGTAATTATTATCTCATCAGCGGTCATCAGCGAGTTTTAATAATAAATAGATAAATAATATTATTATGGTGATGTTGCTTGAAGCGTGGGCATGTTTGATAATATGACAAGAAAAACATAAAATAATGAAAAAATAATTAGCTCCGGTGACGCGGCGCATCAAATAGGCAATTTCGGTACACATACGCTTGGTTAAGACTTAACACCGAACGGCGCGTAATAAAATATGTGCTCAGGGCGCCGTCGGCGTGCCGATAACGACAATATCGACGTTATCACAAATATTATTATTTGGCCACGTCCCTTCCGAGGATATCGTGTAATTTCAATGTATGTAAAAATTATTGTATTATAATATTTTACTGTGATATAACACGAATAATATACGATCGTGACTCTTTCGTGGGCATGCGACTAAATAATAATAACGGCTCATGACGACAGGTATAATTCATCTGCGCCGTGATTGTCGAGCGCGGTGCATAGATGATAACGTCATGCACGTGATAAATATATTGGAAATAACGGTTTTCGCAGACAACAATGCCTAACCTAACCGAGACGACAGCCCGCGGAACTGGCTACCCACGACCAGGGGGCCACGCGTATCACCGTTGTGGGTAAACTATAAAATATTGTAACGATAACGCGATCGACCCACCCGTAGGACGTGACGATCGTGTGTCGTACATCGGCGGTCGCCGCGAGCACAGATAGTGCAGTGGTTCCGTCGCAGGCCCAACGCGTCACCGCGACGATAGGACTCGATACGATAATAATAATATTATTGTGATAACGACATGGCGATACCACGACTACGGTCGTGCACAGTCAGNAAGCTATTAGTGGTTTAACTTAATGATATAAAATAATGTTTGCTTTGAATTCAATTTATTGTTATAATTCTTTACTTCAAACAATTAATTTTTGCTTGACTTATATGTTATTGTAAGTCCTTGTACCTATATATTTTATTTTTTCGTGAAATAAATCATAATTTATACAAATTGTATCGAAATATTATTAAGAATACTTATACATCGTAAAATCGATAAATTCAGTATATATATTCATATATAATTGGATTAATAATTTCATTTTACAGTTTACTTTTAATATAAATACATTATTATTAAATAAATAAAACATTTTAATATAGTTTTAGTTTTATTTTAAGCTTATCATTTATATTGAGCAATTAATTACTTAATGAAATAGAATACCTACCTAAGTAGTTCAACATGTTATTAGTTTTAACTATTTACGAATAATCGTGGTTTTATGTATTTTAGGTACTTATTAAACTTGTAATTTTGTGTTGTTTACTGAGGCGTAGTCATGGATTAAATAAGGTATTTAAATTTGTTCAACTGTTTAAATTAATTAAACATTTCAAAAGATAATAACAACAATAATAATAGTTACTGCAATAAAAAATTGAACATACATTTTTATTTAATATGTAAAAGTAGATATATACATTTTACATAAATACTATATGACTGGGAATAATCCATTTACCTGTAATCTATATAATATTTAAAACTAATAAAACTTCAGATATTGTTTCATTTTGTGATATTGGTATAGTCATTTTAAAAAATAAATAAAAATGTTTTTCTTCGCATAACACCGATGACTTAATAACAAATAGCAATATCGGTATAAAAACCTAAACATAGACACGTAGATTATGAATTTCTAACCAGCATAGGATTATTGCTTATTTTATGTATAGAAATTATAGCACTGATTGATTAGTGACAACCAGTTATGCGATTGCATTTACATTTAAGTGATATAACAGGAACTACTCGTAAAAGCTTTGAATGGAATTCATTCTGCGCAAATGTCAATATTGCAGTAAAATAATCGTTACTCAATATATTCAGCGGGAAGGTCATTTTTCGGTACACAGACGACGAGTGGATGACTTTATAATTTTTATTCATAAAATTGATGAAATCGGTAATTAATTAACCGAGTAACTCAATAAACTAACGACGTAATAATCTCATTGTTGACTATATTAAGTATACAATGACGCTAATTCTCTTAATACTAATGTAAAGATTTTCGTGTTAATAATTCGTGTTAGGTTAGGTTTGTTCAACATAGGTGCACAGGTGTACATTGAGCTTCAATAAATAAAGTAATCTTATAAGTTATAAGCTTTATAACTATCTAGATTCTAAGTATTTTTAGAGTTTTTTTTACGGATCATTAGAATGCACGTTAAACTATTTCATCAATTAAAATCCTCCTCCTCCCCTCTCCCCCCAAAAAACTAAAAAATTAAAATTAAAGTCTGGGTACAACAGCTTTAAATTTTATCAAGGGAATAGCAGAATAATGTACAATATTTTGCAGAGGAAGGGGTCAGTATTTGTATTGATAAGTGAAAAATAAACTTCGTTACTCTTTAATAGTATTCGTTATAAGTATGGATAAGTTTATGTCAAAATATTAGTACTTTCTATTACTTGTTGTAAAAATGCAGACATTATTTTAGCATGTGGAGACTAACTCGCCAAAAATGAAATAAAAAATACGCCATTGAGAATTATTATTACAAATTATATTATATTGAAAATAAACATAACATCGATATGACATATGTATTGTGTTATTGTTACATATTGGTTATGTTAGCTCGAGTATGAGAAAAATGTAATATTGTTTGGAGAAACTCGAAAACAAACAAGTCATTGTAATAGTAATTTATTATTATAGAACATCACCAGAATAACTCCGGTTCACTCATAACGAATATAAAGTTCAACGCTCAACATTATTATAGTACCAATTATGATTATAAATTGTTTTACATTTTGAAAATTTGAAATAATATTGGTACCAATATAATAACAGATTATCAATATATACTGTGAATATAAATCAACTAAGCACATAATATGTGTATGACGCTCAATTCAATTTTTAGGCTGGTTAAATAATTTCTTTAAGTACCTACATGTTTTAGACTCTGAGCGAATCGATAAATATATTGATTTTACAATGATGAATTTTTTTTTATGTACACACGATTTATAGTAAAAAAACACTCGATTTTTATCTTCAACATCTTTCATGGTAAAAATGTAAATCTAGTTCAGAGTTTCGGGAGGTAGAAATTAAAAATACACAGTGGTTTTTTTAATAATTGGGAAAAGGAGAATTTTGCGAAATCGATTTTCTTATTTTATTGTGGTTCGAAAACAAATAATCATACATACATAAAAATATAATCTTATGTTTGTATAAGCATTTTTATGCATTGTATAGTTTTATAAATATTTTGACTCTTTTTATGTTATTAATAGACTTGTGAAATTGTCTAAGAAAATATTTAATCACGGTTTTTTTTATTGACATGTCAAACATAAATATGGACGAATTTACAAATTTACACAAAGAATCACATTTTAAAATATTTTGTTGTTATTCAAAAATTATATCATCAGTGGAGGTCTTGAAACCGTTACGCGTTATATTATTATATTTTATACAAACAATGCTTTTTTCAACACATTTAGGCTTATTTTAAGTTAAAGCCTATTTACACCGTTCTACGGTAAAGCGGCATCGACTGAATATTTAATTACAATAATAAATTATAAAAATAATACATTTTATTTTATTGCATTAATTTTTATGTTATAAATTCAGAAATTGAAAAAATCAAATGAAACCATCTTTTTATACTATAACGGCAATATCAAAAAACATATTATCGTAAAATATACTTAGTAAAATAGTAATACAGGCTTACAGACGGTTTATTCGCTCAGTATTGTTTTTCGTATGTAATTTAAATTTAATACACATTACATTACAGAACTGTACAGCACAGTGGTTACTGGTTACCTACTTTTCTTCCTTTTTTTAGTTTATTACATTATATTTATAATTATGTCTTGAAAAAAAATCTTTTTAAATATTGTTTTCTACTATAGTAAATCAATTATTTATTTCGACATTTTATTTGAGTTTTTTTTTATTATACTAGCATTTTAAGTTTTTAACAAGATAAAATTAAATATTTTTCCTCCAGCTAAATTCCCTTAATAATGTCATTACATTTTAATATTATACATTTATTATTTATATTATACAAATTGTATTATTTTCCTATACATTTCTTATAATACTATTAAGTATAAAACTAAACATTTACGCAGGGTATAATTAAATACTTTACAAAAATGATTAGTGTTGTGTCTAAATTGATGACGTATAGTATAATATTTTAAATTTCTTTGTAATTGATGTCATGAATTTATCAACTTAATACGTCTTTGTTTTAAATGACGAGTTTCTCGTGTGGCACAATATATTATTATACTGGTGCAAATTCAACAATAATTTATTAAATACTCTTATTCTTATAATGTGTAAACATTTGAATTCGTACAACTTTTGGGCCTAGGTATACTATGGTATTTATAAATAAATTATACTTGTTCAAACCCCAAAGTGTAACAACGTAAAATGTATTTTAACATAAAATATTTGTGGTTGAAATACAGTTTACAAGCATCTAAGAGGTTTTTTGAAATATATAACCTCCCGTCAACGATTGTTGCCATAAATTCTAGTAAATATTTTGTCAGTTATGTATGTATCGTTATTGTAACGATATGTATTTTATTTTATTTTTTATGACTCCAAATATTTCTTTGTGAACGTTTTGAAGTCAATAAATTGTGCAGTTAATTTTCGTACCAATAATCGTTGCGATCCACCTGGCACAAAAATATATTTTGAATTTGTTTACCGTATGAATTTAAATATCCTAGCCATTATTTCCGTCCATTAAAACGGGTAATTCAAATATTATGATTTGTGAGGGTTCACTAATAAAATGAGTTTCAAGCGGCCATTGTTTTGATATGAAAGCCGCTATATGATGTTTCGTATATAAGTACAACTTATTATAATAAAACCTTCGACTTTTAGACTCTTCCCGATAACAATTATTATCGTTCATGACGTACGTAGTTGTTTATTTTTGTGTATACAAACAAAAACATTGAAAAAAGTCAGTGGCCAAATGTTATAACAACAAACGCACGTTATACATAATATATATGTAAGCGAGTTCGAGTATTCCTATTTATTAAAAATACGTCATGCGTAACGTATTCATAATTACAGCGAATAATAGAAAAAAAAACACTATTTTTAAAAATTGTCGTGGAGTATTATATTGACCCGATTTTTTCCGATTATTCTTTTACATTTTTCAACCGTTAACGACCCGATATAACAATGGCAACCAGCTCTTTTATCAAATACGTGAACTCGAAATAAAAAATAATAAATTAAAATTCGAGTCGAACATTACGATAAATATTTATTCGTCATGTCGTCATCAAAAATGCTTCGATACGTGTTTCTTCTTTCGCAGTTTTTCGAAAGCATCGATTCGACTTTTGAAAACTGTAGTGGTGGGATGTTTTGAAAAAATAATGATTACAAAACGGAATTTATAGTATAAGACGTAAAATTATGTGGAAGACAATCTAATCTGCAAGAGGGGCTAAGTGTAATTGAAAAATAAAAAAATAATAATTTAGATAGTCGTCGAGGGGTGTAATTATTATCTCATCAGCGGTCATCAGCGAGTGTTAATAATAAATAGATAAATAATATTATTATGGTGATGTTGCTTGAAGCGTGGGCATGTTTGATAATATGACAAGAAAAACATAAAATAATGAAAAAATAATTAGCTCCGGTGACGCGGCGCATCAAATAGGCAATTTCGGTACACATACGCTTGGTTAAGACTTAACACCGAACGGCGCGTAATAAAATATGTGCTCAGGGCGCCGTCGGCGTGCCGATAACGACAATATCGACGTTATCACAAATATTATTATTTGGCCACGTCCCTTCCGAGGATATCGTGTAATTTCAATGTATGTAAAAATTATTGTATTATAATATTTTACTGTGATATAACACGAATAACATACGATCGTGACTCTTTCGTGGGCATGCGACTAAATAATAATAACGGCTCATGACGACAGGTATAATTCATCTGCGCCGTGATTGTCGAGCGCGGTGCATAGATGATAACGTCATGCACGTGATAAATATATTGGAAATAACGGTTTTCGCAGACAACAATGCCTAACCTAACCGAGACGACAGCCCGCGGAACTGGCTACCCACGACCAGGGGGCCACGCGTATCACCGTTGTGGGTAAACGATAAAATATTGTAACGATAACGCGATCGACCCACCCGTAGGACGTGACGATCGTGTGTCGTACATCGGCGGTCGCCGCGAGCACAGATAGTGCAGTGGTTCCGTCGCAGGCCCAACGCGTCACCGCGACGATAGGACTCGATACGATAATAATAATATTATTGTGATAACGACATGGCGATACCACGACTACGGTCGTGCACAGTCAGAGTGTTCATACCTGGCGCATAGTTCCGGGCGGCGCGATCATTGCCGTGTGGCGGCGCAGCGGCGGCGGTGGCGTCGGTGCTCCCCGGCGGCCGTGTGGCGGCGGGCCCGGCTGCGGCGAGGACACGAGGCGCGGACCCAGGCGGGGGACGGCTGGCGGGGGCAGTTGCAGACCGGGCGGCGAATGGAGGACGACGAGTGGCGTCGGTGGCGTATCGCGTTTTCTCGGCGTGAGGGCGGCGGCGGCGGCATCGGCGGTCGAAGTTGGACGCGGCGGCGGCGCAGGACTCGGCCGGGCGAGCCGATTGAACGTACTAAACGGTCTCCGCCGCGGTCGACTGTGCGCGAGCGGGCCTCCGTCGATTTCGCCGAAAACGCCGCGGAGCCGCGCTACCGGCGCCGCGAGCGCGCGCACCCCGAAAACGGGGGCCGACGAAACTTTTTTTCTGTCATCCCCCCCTCCCCCCTCACCCTCCGCCCACTCACCCGTTCCCATCCTCGAAAAGCTCACCGTCCTCGAACCACCGGCTTTTATGTTTTATTATTATTATTATTATTATTACAGTAGTCGTTGTTATCGTTATTTTTTTTTTTTACGATAAACGCATCGTACGCACACACACACACACACACAGACACACGATCGTGTCACGTTTGTAGATGGATTTCCACCGAGCGATATAATATGCGTGTGCACGACGATAATATTATAATATTAGTATTATTATATCAAACGGTTTTCACGGGTCTGATTTATAAAGGGACGTTATTATAATATTGTGCCGTCCGGCAAACTCATCCTCGACACTCAGGACGCGTCTTCTTCGTCATCTCGGCGAGGTCGTCGATTCGTGACACTCTCGCGTCTATTATCCAAACGATCGCGAATTTCTGTCGAGCAGGGGAATGTGCGTTACTGTGCAAGACTTGTGTGTCTGCGCCCCGCCACACACACGACCGAGAAAATAATTATACGTTCAAGGTTAAAAATGCAAACGCGAAGGAGTCTCGAGAGCTCCTCCGATAACTTATATCGTACACAGAAAGTGGTCATGCGCGCTTGTGTATGTGCGTACACTACAAATAATATATTGTTGTGTGATGTAAAAAAAAAAAAATAAATAAAAAAAAAAAAAACTCTTGCCGTGCGTGCACCGTATAATTTGACCCAATTCCTTTGGACGAAAAACAATTGACCCAGTAATAATTACAGGTAGTTTCTTTTCGTAGGTGGCATTTTTCCCTCTCACTCGTGTTCACCAGACATTAGCTATATACACAGCACACACAATATAATAATACACACTCCGTGATGTATAATAAAGTGGCGGAAACTAAGAAAGAAAAGGTTAACTCGGTTAAATACCAAAATTCGAAAATATAAGTTCAATGGAAATTCCAACATAATAAAAAAAAAAAAAGTGACGAATAATATTTTATACCATTTAGGTACTATTATATCAAAATATCAAATTATTGTTATCATATTATTCCATGTCTTAGTAACCTGACGAATCGAGAGAAAATCAGAATACGAAATTAAATTATGTTTTGATTTGTCCTCAGTAAATAATAGCTGCGAATCAAAATATTAATCTCATTTTGATTTTTATTATGATGTGCATTTATACACTCAGTGATTGCGCAAAAATGTGAAAAGTATTCGATAGGTATATCTAGACAAATAAGTATGCGTGTTGTCGTGAGTATACGCATTGCATGTAATGATATTAGGCATGTCGGTACTATATAATAATATATAATAGTATGTTAGACTGCTGGAAGTCAACTTGGTAATTTTGTTTTAGATCATTTATTACATTTTATAATTTCATATTCAACAGATCGTTATTATTCTAAAAGTTAACCCATTTTATCTTAATAAATAAGTGGTAGTGGATTAAAAAATATATAATTTATATTTACACACTACACCATATTTTATTATATCTTATTGCTCCACATTATTACAGCGAATTTATAATCTATACTAAATTAATTTAATGACATAATGCATAATATAACATATTGCATTACGTGATATATATAGTTTAATGTACCCAACAAATTAAGATATTAAACACAATACTAATAAATAACATGTTGTTTTTTTAGAATATTAATTAGCCATTTCTGCACGGTACAATTCATATAACGAGGTTTAATGCATTTTTGGATACTACCAGCACACAATGCAGGAGAGGGAGAGAGCGGTGTGAATTATTTAATTATTATAAAAACGTATCATAGTAGCTATAAACCTCCTTTTTCGTTTCGAAATGAAATTACAAAACACGTAACGGCCAACTTTTAGTATCCCAAAAACCGATTTTTTTATTACCTACTTACTTATAGGTTTTGAATTATCTTTTATATAAGGTCAGATTTATAAAACATAAACGATTTCATTTTATATGCAGGATTGTGATATGACGTGACGATGAAGCCGTTAATGATTCAGTGAAGTTTTAAGGAATAGTATATTTTGAATCTTAACACAACGGTTTATAAAATACAATTATCTGTACAAATTATTGATTGATGAGATGGTGTGTGTTATTTTTATAATGATAATATAGTTTGACAACTGCCAACAGTCGTACAAATTTTACAAAATTCGTTTTCAAATTTTACTTGTGCAAGATTAAGTAGCTACGCAAATTATCATCAAATGGTTTTATTTTTGTAAATTAAGGTCTTACCGTCATTTTTGAAGGTTAATTATTGTACAGTTTTTTTTCAATCTGATCTCAGCCGAAAATGAAATAGGTGGGCAACATCGTGTTTCTCCTAGCAAACAATTGATTTTTATTTTCCAAAATAAAATGTTTATTTCGAATTAATAAATGACTTTTGGTACACAAATTTTACATTTTTATTGGCGTCAACAGATTTATTAGGTTTATAATTTATAAACCCCCGTGGTTGTCTTATAAACATGTATTTTTTTCTCGGAATAAGAAACAATTGCTTTTACGTCAACCGTGTAAACAGCAACATAACGTTAGAAGGAAAACTGAAGATTTTAAATTTTGTAAATACAAAAAAAAAAAAATATATTAGGTAGGTACCATCCCAACAAAATACAGCACAACAAAATTATAAAACCATCAGAAAATCTATTCTTCGAAATACCTCACAACCGAAACGTATTTCTCCGTATTTCTCAAACATATATATATGACTATATAATACGTGCGTACTGCTCGTGTTATATGATGTACATACAAAGCTGTTTAGTCTAATAAAATCTACCAGCACAATGTCTGCAGAATGGGAATCAATAAAATGTATGTTTTAAAAAGCTACATTTATCAGCTGCCTCGCGGTGTTTCGCAAAAGACGGAATTTTCATTAGATGTACCAACGTTTCCTACCTCGATATCCAGGATAGAGACGAGCGTGTAGATTGTAGGCATATGTGCATCATGCGTTAGTGATTAATTTCAATTAACGCGAAATTAGAAGGGGCTATTTTTGTTTACCATCGTTTCACTTTCATCTAAATGAATTAAATATTAATTAATTAACAGCATTGATCATTTTTTTTTTTTTTTAATACGACTAAGCGCAAGTCCAATTACGGGCTTGAAAGTTTTGTGCAAACACTGCAGTGAACATTTCGAATTAATTACTTTTATACGAAATTATATACAATTTATTATAATATTCATAATTATTGTGCCATTGAACTATTTTAATTACATATTTTTTGTACACTACACATTTATGAAACGAAATAGATACCTTTGCTTAAAAATTACAATTTATGTACTATGATAATTACTAATTAAATATTAAGCAACTTTAATTATCATGAAACCCGCAACGGAAATAAATAGAGATTTTTATAACATTGATAATGTAATATTTTAATATTTTAATCAAAGAAGAATGTAAATAATGTATAATATTATAGCTATTCATATGACATTAATAAGTTTAATTAAATGCAACTTTCGGTATTTTAAAATAATATTTTTAATATTATGAAACGTTTTGACAATAATTTATATCTTAACGGCTAAAATGCATTAGTTTAATAAAATTATATAAGTATTAAATTATTTTATTTTCCCAAACTTACTTGCAATATAACGAATTTTATATACATTAAACAAAGTTAAATGGGAAACTTTCCACATTGGGCGAAAAAAACAGCTAGGAATCGTGGCCCTTGATCGTTGATATTTCATTACATAAGTTTTAAAAAATAAAAAACTGGTTTCTTCTAAAGTTGAGTAGTGTATTAAAAATGTATTTGGTTAACATCGGTTAGATTCTCAAGGTATATCGATTCTTCAGGGTTCGTGTCAAATAATGTAAGAAAAAAAATTTCTATTAAATATACTAAACTGTAAATAGGTACATAATACTATTGTAATTTTAATTATTACTATGTTTTTACATAAATTAACTTATAATAGTGAATATTTTTAGTGTTTTAATGAGCGATAGACGTACGTATTTGTATTAAAATAATAATAATAATAAAAAAAATCGTTTGACCTATAAATTGGAAATTGTGTGTATAGTTGCTTTAGGTGCAAGGAATACGAGTACGTGATTTTATAATTTTTTCTTTAATTTATTTAAGTGCAAAAAAAAACAACTGACAAATTGCGAAGAAATTATAAATATATGATTCACCTGCCAGAATAATGACTATGATTATAAAAAAAATATATATATAAGTCTAAAATCAATATTCTCATCTAAAGTAAATACATTTTTTCTAATTATTCAATATTTAGTACTTTATAGTAGGTTGTATAATATTACGTTTTCTGTGATAATATATAACTACTTTTTTTAAGTTGTATATTGTAAAAAGACTCGCAAACTGCGGGTGAAATTATATTTATTCTTATAAACTAAACACCTTTTTCAAGCATTTGTTTTAAAATTTAGACATTTTAAGGAAAACAATTTTTTTATTCATGAATATCAACGACGTTTCTTTTTCTAAATATGAATTTTAATATTGACGTAAAAAATATAATGTATTACGGGTTTTACCATAGTGTTTTAATGGGGAGAAAACCCTCTCTGAATGTCTCATTATGTAGTTGTAGCCTGCAATACTATTGAGATTGGAAATTTAATGGAAAAGGTACTTTGAATAAGACATCTTTTTCCAATTCAATTATACCTCGGAAATGTTGTCGTTAAACGCAAAAGAAAGCTAGTAAATCGAAAATTGTTGATTAAATATAATCAAGTGAATGACGTAGTGACTGAGATTTACTCAGAATTTTTTTTTCCGTTAGCTCCGGTTATTAT